AAGCGGTCAAAACCTATTTGTACCAAATAACTTTGTTATGGCCTTGGAAAAAATGAATAATCTGCAGGTAAGGAAATAACACCAGTGGAACTGCTATAAAAATGTATAAACATTTTAAAATGGCGTGCCTTGGATCATGGCAGCCTGCCCAAAGTTGTCTCTTTAAAACAAAGGGTAAAGGCCCAAAACAACAAAAACAAAAAAAGAATAACGTCACAAAGTAAATTATAAATAAAAGCTTCACACATTTGCAATTTCAAGTCTTTCAATAATCCAAAGCCCTGTTTATATGTGGTGTGGTACTTGTAAACTCCCTGCACCTTGTAACTAAACTAAACCCCAACTAACCATAAAAACGTCTAACTACTGGGCTCTGGTATAGTATGTTTGGGGTATAAATGTAAAATAAATAAGATCCATTTTGTAAACCATAAAAAGTATTTAAAGTATTATATAGCAACACTGTGTCCAGTATATGCCTGCTCCCCCATCCCGTAAAAAGGTCCCTGCTGAGGGTCTAACACCCTGTCACTGGAAATTTCAAATCAAGTCTGGATCTTTTTCTAAATGTTCCAATCTGGTTCAAACAGGCATTAATTCAGAGAAGCTCTCTGGCTTGTGTTACATAGGAAGTCAGATTGATGCTCAAAGTGGTTCCTTCTGGCATTATGGTCTGTAATTCTATGAAGGCTGATCTGCCCCTGCTACCCTAAAGAAAGTGTTCCCCGTTGCCCCCTATGAAACTGGATCAGCAAGAGATAAATCAAGGGCTTCATTCACCAGTGCTAAATCCGTTCCTGATAGTTAGTCTTCACTTGGGAGTTTCTGCTGCTATGCAAATGAATGCATGGTATGATTCATGTAAAATGGCCCTCAAGGACTAGAAAAAGGGAAGCTTGAATGATCTGGGAGTCAGGACTCCTGGGCTCTATTCCCAGCTCTGAGATGGGTGTGGGGTCTGGTGCTCAGTCTCAGAAAGGTTTTGGAATGAATTTGCTGAAGCAATAGCTAGGGATGGGAGTTTACTGAGGGTATTCAAGGCTATTAACATCGGGTGGTCAAGACCTTACATATCAACACGTTCCCAGCTGACATGCTCACAAGAGGACATGAAAGACGCTTGGACATGGAGAAATGTAAGTGCAGAGCCGGAGAGATATGGTATTGGCCACAAATGAACAATGAGAGAGAGAGAAATTGTTAAAATGTGTGAAACAGGCCCCCAGTGCCAACCTAAACAGAGTAAAAGAGGCTATGTTGATAAGCAATGAACAGTGCAGGGCGTAGTCTAAAGTTGGTGTGGATCTATTTGCATATGCAGGTGAAGACTATGTTTTGACCCGGATTATAATTCTCATTCTACAGAGGTTGTTTTGTTAGAAAATATCACATCAAAACATGTTACAATGCACATGAAATCCATATTTTGCTGGCATGGAATCCATGAAGTTATTTGGCACTGGGATGCAGGCACTTCTGGGGTGGGGCATAGGAGCTGTTTGTACAGCGATTCGCTTACCCAGCACTGAGATGTGGGCATTTGTTGGGTCTCTTTGGGAGGGCATGGGGGTGTGTATGACTCTCCCTCTCCATGCGGCATGTGTGCTTGGTAGGATGTGGGCTGGGGATGGGGTTGGTGGGCAAGAAGTGGACGAGGTTGGCACAGTAACTGCTATAAAGTCACCACAGGTTCCTCCTGCTTCAAAGTCACGTCTGCTCTGTCTGTGAGGCTGGGACCTCGCAGGGCCTGGGGGAGGGCAGACTTTGTGGTGGCTGAGAATAAGGATGACAGACTTGGGGCTTTGAGGCACACTGGGAGACAAGGCCTAAGAAGGGGAAATTGGGGGAGCCTGCCCCCACTCTCCCAGCACCCCTTTTGTCCAGCCAGCCCTACAATTTTCCAACCCCGCCCACCAGCCTCACAATTCTGCACCCCACCTTGCCCCACATTTGCTCCTCCTGCAAATCTGGAGACTCTTTACCGCCTCCAAACATAAAGGGGGCAGCTCCAAGCATGGGACTCTGCTTCCCAGGTCCGGGCTTTCAGGAATGGAGCAGGCGGGGGAAGGGGGAGAAGAGCAGAGCCACCCTGAGAGATTATTACATCCCTACTTCTCTCCCACAATTCCTCTTGGCCTTGCTTGCCTCCTGCAGAAGCATTTCTCCAGGAGGTGAGGGATGTGGGGAAAGACAGCCAGTCGAGGAGGGGTTTCCCCACTCACTCCCTTCTCCCAGTCAGTCCCATGGGGGAGCTTTGCATCAGGAGAGTTAGATACCCTGTGTGGTTGGGGTTCAGTGTAGCCAGCCACTGACAGTTTGGTGTTTTGTATGTGACATGAGTTTGGAGGGACTCAGCTTTGACTCCTGCGACACAAACTGACCAATGCGATGCTGTGACCAAACGGGCTAATGCGATCTCGGTATGAACAGGGGACCCTCGAGTAGGAGCAGAGCGGTTATTTTACTTTTGTATACGGCCTTGGTGTGACTGCTGCTGGAATAGTGAGTCCAGTTCAGGTGCCCAAAATTCACAAAGGATGTCGATAAATTGGAGAGGGGTCAGAGAAGTGCCAGGAGACTAACGAAAGGATTGGAAAACCTGCCTCATAGTGATAGACTCAAGGAACTCAGTCTAGTTAAGGGCTGACTTAATCCCAGTCTGAGTAGCTATGAGGAGGACAAATATTTAACATTGGTCTCTTTAATCTAGCAGGTAAAGGTCTAACATGATCGAATGGCTGAAAGTTGACACTAGATAATCTAAGGCCATGTCTACAATAGCGATCTTACAGCAGCACAGCTGTACCGATGTAGCTGTGACAATGTAAGATCACTCGTGTAGCTGCTCTATGCTGACGGGCAAGAGCGCTTCGGTCAACGCAATTAAACAATCTCAATGAGCAGCTCTTCTGCCGCCATCTCTTTCTGCACATTACCACTGATGGCGGTTAAACTTGTGTCACTCAGGGGTGTGTTTTTTTCACACCCCTGAGCAACATAAGTTTTGCCGACATAAGTGGTAGTGTAGACATGGCCTGTGACTGCAAATAAAGCCGACAGTTTTAACAGCAAGTGTAATTCACCATTGGAACGGTTTGCCAAGAGTTGTGGTGAATTCTTCATCACTGTCAAGTATCAGATGGGTAGCTGTGTTAGTCTGGATCTGCAAAAAGCAACAAAGAGTCCTGTGGCACCTTATAGACTAACGGACGTATTGGAGCATAAGCTTTCGTGGGTGAATACCCACTTCGTCAGATGCATGTAGTGGAAATTCCCAGAGGCAGGTATAAATATGCAGGCAAGAATCAGTCTGGAGATAACAAGGTTAGTTCAATCAGGGAGGATGAAGCCCTCTTCTAGCAGTTGAGGTGTGAACACCAAGGGAGGAGAAACTGCTTCTGTAGTTGGATAGCCATTCACAGTCTTTGTTTAATCCTGAGCTGATGGTGTCAAATGAACTGAAGCTCAGCAGTTTCTCTTTGAAGTCTGGTCCTGTACTTTTTTTTTTTTTTTGCTGCAGGATGGCTACC